GGATGGTCTTTTTGAACCGCGAAAGACTTTGGAGGCGGACTAGTCGCAATGGGTGTTCCAAAGATGTTTGACGGACCCATAGTTGCGTTAGACTGATCCGTGTCTGGTCCAGATGGGACGAGATCGGGAGTTGAACTTGGTATCGGGCTAGCTTGGACCGGTGTTTCTCCCGTGGGAACAGCGTTCGTCGTGCTAGGTTGAAGACCAGATACTGTAGGGGAAACCTGTAGCTCTGCTGAAGTTGCGGAACAGTTAGTAATCGAGACAGGTTGATAGCCTTCGCGGTAGGGATCCTGGCTTGTCGAAGTGGGAGAATAGCTCTCTCGGAAAGAACGTCGTTCTGAGACTTTGTCTTGACTGTTTCGCCTAATCTCACGATTCGAAGCCCCAACTCGGGCCGTCAGGCTAGGGTAAACCTGGAGTAATGTCAGCATCCAAGACGACCGCATGGTGGCTCTGAAGGGAAATGGATATAGAAAGGTGTATATTGTTGGCGATCCTTGTGTATTTTCATCACATAGTCCTCTAAATAACTGGTACCCAACTCGTAGTGTTCTCGGTATTGTGATATCGTAATTTCGTAAAGGGTGGCTAGACTGAAAAAGATTTGGAATGGGTTTGGAAATGGTCAAAGTTCAAGTGTTAGATACCAAGCCAAAATCCACGTCTACAGCGAAGTAGTGGCCGGGCTCTACGCTTCTTTTAATGACATGACGGGCGACTTGAGTATAGTTATTAGGGAATGGATATCAGTGTACCAGGCAACGGCTGAGTCAGGGCCTCCAACGAAAGTGATGCGTGGAGTTTATGACATGGGGAATGCGTTGTCTTGAATAGGGGAGAATGGTCCTACCTAACGTGGCGAGGCCGAGCAAACGAAGGAGCCTAGAAGTTGTCACTGGAATGAGAATCGAGAGCTGCGGAAAGGCCGCGGCCGTAGGACGAGATAAACCTGGATTAACGGATACGTGAATACTATATTCGGATTAGAAAAGAAATGCTGCTTGGTCTCAGGGTGCGGCTCTAGGTTTTGAGGATATTGTTGAAGAGCTGTGAGGAATATTGAGCCAAGAAGTTGAGCTACCCAGATCCCAAGATATCCACAAGGCACAAAGTATCCCAAGCGCAGCTCTGCGACTACCTTAACATCTCACTTCCATGTTTTTAGAGACGTTACGAGCTGGAAGGAACAAGCCCAGTCGAGATTCGAATTTGGAAATTGCCTTCTTTATGGAGAAGCGGCTGATGTAAGGAGCTGTCTCATTCAGAAGCCCCACCCCAACAATTGCGCCTCCTCCGGTAGCAGGCCCAGGCTATGACTTCTAACCTAGGCCGTTGACGCTTCGAGGCTGTCAACGCTTTCGCATACTTGGAGAGAATATATGATCAAAATGTAACAAATCTCGTCGCTTTTCTACCGAGGTGAGAAGGTGGGAAGTCATAACAATAGTTGTACAAATCACATCAGCTTCGCCCCAAACATCAAAGTACCTGGTCAAACACACATAGCAGATGTCATGACGCGATTATGATACGGGATATCAACCGAAAAGTTTATTGAACATCTCTATAGTCCCAACGCATCATATTGGCCCTCGACGAGTGAGTTCTCAGCTCCTGACTTGATCGCGGTTTCTGGGTTTTTAGATCCGCTTCTCGTATCCCCGGTCTTAGCCTTACGCTCTCTACTAGGCATCGCCTTATCAAGAGTAAACCCATTTTCCTTCCTCTTTTTCCTCCTCTTCTCCTCGGCATCCACATCAGCCATGTGCTGTTTCTTGCACCGGCGCACTTGCCTCTTCTCAAGTATCCAGGGTCGACTTAGGACCTCTCTTCGAAAGTCGCGGATCTTGTTCCAGAACTGGACTTCCTGATTTGTAGACCTGATTCTCTGCAGTTTCAGTATTTTGATATGCATTTGACCCCTGAAGAGTTTGGTGCTGCCCTTGACTTCGACCGTCATGCCAACGTCGATATCTGAAGGTGGATCGGGTTCGGAAGCGGGAGCGGGAGCGGCTGCGGTCGACTCGTTGCCCGCACCATCCTGATGGCGGCTATCGACCGGCTTTGGGATAGCCTTGGAACATTCTATGCACTGGCCGGTACTGTCGTCCACCGTGTAGACTCGATGGCCATAGTACTCGTCGATCGCAACCACGACCCCAACGATTCGAACCCATCGAATTGGGTGGTTCAAGGAGAAGAATACATCATCGCCTTGTACATGGTAAGCACCAGGTCATTCTTAGGGACGGGGTTTGAATAGGCAGGTACCTTCGAATCCAGGTCGACTTTCGAGGCCATGAATGTCGGTAGCGCGTAGCGGACACCATTTGTTAATCGTTGGGGACAAGTGGAAACAATACGCAGGATAGTATATCAGCGATTCCGCACTTGTCATCGCATCTTGGTAGCGGAATACATGTAGGTTGCGAAAAGCAATACTCGCGAGTCCGGCGCGTTGTGTCTTTGAAAAGGTTAAGTACGGAATACATACATAGGGACCTGACCACCAAAGATGACGCGACAAGACGCGGACAGCTTCAGGCTAAGTCGGGATGCGCCCCACTTATTAAGGTACAATACCTAGCCACCACCTACACAGCTACAGCACCCGCTAGCTGCCTTGACGCTCTTCTAATGGATCGCATCCTGTGCCAGCAGGATAGCACGAGATTCTAACCTATCAGCTACTTGTATTTGTCAATAGTTATATACATCTATCAATCAGGTAATCAGGTGAAAACCAGCGCGATTAGACTTCCAACCCCAAAGCAAACCCGTCCGCGTGAACTCCCTTGCCGCATGATGCCGTAGACGCCGTGTAAGAATACCACCAAAAATACTGGAGACTTTTTAGGGCTGAGCTCACTTCTTTCTGCCCTTCTTAAGTCTCGCTGCTGCAGCTTGAAATGCTTCCTCCGAGGGCTCCTCCTCCGGACTTGCGCGCTTCCTACCCTTCTTCGGGCTCGATGTCGCGCCGTACTTGGCCGCAAGATTGTCAAGGAAATTACTTCGACTTTTCTGGTTGCTGCGGATAAGCGCTGCCAGGTCATCTTCTGACGATCCCTTTTTGCTCTTTCCTTTGTTGTCTTTCTTGCCAAACAGCTTGTCGTGCACTCCCAACTCCTTGGCATATTCCTCAGCCTCGGTGCTCTCCTGCTTAGCAGCCTTGATGCGAGCCTCCTTGGACTTCTTGCTCTCCTTCGTGTAGGCTTTGAACGCGGGGACGTCCTTGTTGGCAATCGCCTCGTCGATGATGGCGCGGAACCGTTCATCGTCTTCTAGCACGTCGCTGAGCATGACCGACTCGTAGATCTTATCCATATTGCCCTTGTGTTCTTCGTAAGCGATCAGGATATCGTCCTTTTCTTCGTCGGAACCCTTGTATTGCTTGGCGAATTTTTCAATCGCGTCAGCAGTAACTGCGTCGCGGTACTGCTCTCGGTAGAAGTCTGACCAGCTGAAGCCATCTGAGTCGACAATGGATTCGGAGGTCGAGCCTGTCTCATCGTAGCGCTTGCGTCTTGCCGGGTCGGATAACACAGCGTATGCGAATGCTATGGACTGAAAAGCCTCGTGGGCTTTCTGTTTCTTGTCCTCGGAGACCTTGTCTGCAAACAGAACAGCGTGTAAGAATGCGGGAACCATCAAGTTTTGTGACTGGGTTGGAGAGCTTACCAGGGTGATTTTTCAGAGCAAGTTTTCGATAGGCTGATCTGATTTGGCCTTCATTTGCCGAGCGCTCTAGACCGAGGACATCGTAAGGGTCTATAGTAGGCAGTTCACCCGCCATAAGGTCGTCAGAATTGTCCATGATGAATAGAGCCCAGTAGGTGGTGTAAAATGGGCGTACGACGGTGAGCTTGCAGGTTGATGTTTGATGAATAAACGAAATCGCGTTACACGCCTACACGCGTCTCTGGCTTACACGGTTTATCGATAAGGCGGACCAACTAATTGCTTTAGCGGGGTAATATCCATCGAACGCCCCACCTGAATATACCTACATTAGGTACCTACACTACCTACTCGTGGATCCCTGCGAATTTCGATTTTTCACCATTTGATGCTGAGTATTTTCAAAAAATGACTGAACGTACTCCACAGCTGGCGGAGAAGATAGGGGCTGGAGACCATCAGTCGTACATGAAGCTTGCACTTTCTCTAGCCACTAAATCACCTCCCAAGCCTACCAATTACCGTGTTGGAGCTGTCGTGGTGGACACTGCTACGAATGAGATATTAGCCACCGGCTACACACTGGAGCTTCCGGGGAACACCCACGCCGAACAATGCTGTTTTGAGAAGCTCGCAGAGGAACACGGCGTTCCAGCGAGCCGTCTAGGCGAAGTGCTCCCAAACAGCGTCGTACTTTATACCACAGTCGAGCCGTGTTCGCAGAGGCTCAGCGGAAATCTGCCGTGTGTGGACAGGATATTGGCCGTAGGAAATAAGATCAAGACCGTCTACGTCGGGGTTTATGAACCGGAAAAGTTCGTTAGTGTCAATTCTAGCAGGCAGAAGTTGGAGGACGCTGGTATTGGGTTCGTCCATGTTAGTGGACTTGAGAAGGAGATACTAGAAGTTGCGACGGCCGGTCATGACAAGTCTATCTAATAGATATAAATATAATATACCTCATCAACCCTTCGCTCATACCTTGGATATTCATCTAATGCCGCGAGCAATTCTACCTCATAGAGTGCTAGTTGACACCCAGATCACGTCGTCCATAGAAGTACAGCAATACCAGTTAGGAGGTCTGTACATCCGATACGATACAGACACTTTGGACCAATAGTGACCCCCACAGGGTGACCCTACGAAACTTCAGCAACTCATGTCGAGAGACGAAGAACCAAAAAGGTCAAAAGACAGGTATTCTAGTATCGCGCTCTTATTTTTCGAGCAATCCATGTAAAGGCCAAAAGAAAAAATCAGGAAAAGCGCAAAAAAATTGGTTCGAGGTGCCTGTTGAACAGGCGCATCAGGATTTGAGCCCGATGCGGGGGTCGAACCCGCAACCTTGAGATTAAGAGTCTCACGCCTGTCGAATTGTTAGCTGACTGACTCGTGAGATCGTGTGAAGGTGTTCAACTTACTCTACCGATTGAGCTAACCGGGCTGTGATAGGCTGCTCGAGCTGGGCGTTTATATTCTGGCGCGCAAGGCAGTTTCGGGGGTCCGAGATTGTGCCGGCGCTATATGCCTTCCCATTGGCCAATTGAGCCGAAGTGGGGTACAAGATTGAGTGCTATCGCAAGTTTTCAGGCCACATTCTAACCCGTAGACCCAAGAAGATGAACTAACTAGGAAATGTATCAATAATGTCTATTCCTCTTTTTTTCTTAGTCGTCTTGGATTCAACACAGCAGACGTGGCTATACCGATTAGCTAGAATTAAGGCCCCTTTCCTCCACCGTACGTGCTAGGTCAGTTGATATGGAATCATGGCTCTGAATTATGCTTGCATGAATCACATAGCATGGAGTTAAGTATGTTGGTATAGGCATATCATGGACCGTAAGCTAAAAGTCCTCCAATATAGCAGGTTCTATTTCATGTGCATGAAAAGGTGAGACGTCATCACGATGCATCAGTACTGTTATGAATTTGATAATACAACAAGATCGTGGTACATGTATCTTTCGTCTACTAGGAAGCATCTTGATGTATTACACCTGTAGCCGTCTCGCCTTGTGCTTCTTAACAGGTCCTGTTTATCTACAATTAATTTTCTGCATACACGTGTAAAATTCGGGAGGCCAGAGAGGCAAATAGAGCCGGCGAGAGTTTGGTGATCAATATAGTAGTAAAGTCTACAACTAACGAATTTCCAGGCCCTGGTGTAACAATTGATCTACGTACATTTCTCTGCCAAGTCCATGTACTTTCATTTACAGCCCACGTCTAATGAGAATGCTGTCAAGTGCATCTACTTATCAAATGGCTCGTAGAGGTTCTACAGCATCCAAAGCATCATAATCGAGCAATATATGCAGAAGGTTCTATCAACTACTGGTCCTCAGTAGACCTATAGTGAGAAAATGACGACGAGGCTGGCTAGGCAGCCATCTTACGCGACGGCTTCGCCGACGTCATGGCCGATAATCAGCCCATGGGAGGAATTTGAATACCTAGCCGCAGAATTAGGCTTCGTATTGATTTTCTCCAACTTGGTCAGTGTTATTAGATTCGACTCTCGAAGGGGCTTTCTTCAGATTCAGGTCTTATCCGCGGACATGTTTGAGTTGGGCTTCGAAGTTGCCTTGGGTAATTGCACTAGTTCTCGTGTTTCTACCCTATGAACTCTAGTATGTAATTGGCCCTTCAATGGGTACCTATCGTACTGATTTTCTTGTTTGTGACGACCTTGGACGACGCAAGCCAAGAACCAGTCCACCTGTCTCCTTATTCATACGCCTATGCCTACGAGGGCAGCGATAAGCAGTGCGACGCTTCAGATATCTACATCTGCTGATAGAACTGAACTTTAACTGGCAGGGTAGAGTAGGTGATGGAAGCTTGTCGTAGTCTATGGTAAACCAGTAACGAATGGGCCCTACTAGGTACAATGTCGTCTGCCTAAAGTGAGTCATAGCTTCGGGTTACATTGAATGTGCATGCAGGATTAGGTGGCTTTCCTGTTCGCAGCAGGCTTCGCGGTAATTTGTTCCTGGAGCAAGGCAGATACGTACGTGTACCGGTAATTACTGTGTTTCACCAGGCTGAGTTCCGATTCTTTGAGGAGATGCTCGAGACCTGCAGATGTTGTAATACACCGGTTTCCTCTATAAACGACACTGGATGTGACCTGCACCTCGCCACTGAAGAGGGCAGATATGGAAGCCGAGTACGACATCCAAAACCTTTGAGTGTTAGCTGTGGAGAACTGCCACCCAGTAGCGGGCCGGTCCGGTACTATGTATGCCATTGGAAGGTATCCCCGTGGGGTTTAGCTGCGGCTGGCTTGAATAAGGTCCCCATCGAACAGTGTCCCACGCCTTTGGGATTTCGAGTCTAATGTTAGGAGATCGAAGATACTTTAGAATCAATGTGTCAGTACATAAGTAGCTTGAGTTATTTGAACGACGCGTTTGCCAATTCAAGCCCGCAGTCTGCAATGGTAGGTACCGGCTGCAAGTCGGCAACCTGCAAGAACAGAGTGGCGGGTCCGTTTGGCTTGCAGTATGCAGGGCGAGGGCCAATTAATGGAGGAATGAGGCTGAAGTCCGTCTGCTATTGACTAGACTACCTACATACCTCTTTAAGTTTTACTCGTTAAGATGATGGGCTTTCCATTAAGGAGGAGGCTGCGTCATAGTAGAATCTATGGCATGCGGGGTTCCGCGGGGGTTTGGAGGGACATACCTGCTTGTAACCTAAGGTAACTTGGTACTTGTTCCTTTGGCTCTGCAATTGCAGGAATACATACATTGAACATTCAGGCAAGTCATATCATGAAGATGGGCGAGTGACTGGAATGGTTACTTCCGGTCATATACAGTTAATATATCAGGAAAAAGACTGTAAACATTATTGGATGTTGGAAGAGCATAATCCTGCTAAAGTCTAGCCGAAGGAACTCGCAAGTCGGTTGGCCTAACCATTCGCTGCCTGTGTACCACAAGTAGTGAGCTGACAACATTGAAGTTTTGCTGTCAAAAAGAGACATGTCACAATTCGTCGCTGATAACCTGTACAAGTCGAGTACCTACTCAAATTCCCGGCCTTAATAACGCATTGCCCTAATGCTAACGCCGTCTACTTGGAGTTACCCATTACGTAGACAAGCTGTCGGCGACAAAGATACGATGACAGAGGAGAGTTCATAGTGACCAGTTTCAGGCCGCAATCCTTGCTCGAAAAAAAGCAAGCAGCATTTGTAGCGGTGAAAGTGTTATGGGATAGGAAGAATGAAGATGCTTCCTAAAACTTTTGTTTAGAATCTGATATATGCTCTTAGGAATTATATTAGCATAGAACCTCTCACTGAGAGTCCATCCAATGTGAACTAGTCGTAACTGGGGATGTGAGGTAGCTACGTGCCCCTTTATCCTTTATTCTGTGATATACCTACCATTTCCACACAGTGACGTTTTGTACTGTGGAATACGGCTGAAGCGGAAAACGCCACGAACAGCAGGGCTGCCGGTACCATGTACGTGGGTCTACGCTCATGCAGTAAAACGCCCAAGGAAAACGCCAAGTTGGATTCTCTCAGAAAAACCACCTTCGTGAGCCCACAATCCACCTTGGAAAATTCAACATCATCTTTACCGCTTAATTTATGCCTAACATAGTGTATCAGGCCTGAAAAGGGTTTAGCTACCCGATTCCCGAAGGAGGGGTTTAGAGGGGTCCCTAATATTAATTAATGGCGAAATCTTGCACACATAATCGTGACATAGCTGCACACCGCTTTGGGGTTTGATGAAGAATAACAGAAACCTAAAAAGCAAAGGAAAACAGAAAAATGAGATTGGTCGTTAGCAAACGGAAACTATAGCCGCCTATGGGTTGGTGACATGTATGTATGTAGGACCGGGAACGGTACCGAATGTGCAATTATACTTGTATGAAAGTGACTTAGAAGTACCAACATGTCTTTCATAACAGGGACCCATCTCATCGTTAAATGGGCCCTGCAATTCCATTCCAGATATGTAGGTAGAGCTGCCTTTCTCTTTAGTTCCTTACCTCCATCGTCTTTGATCCATTCTATTAGTATGAGAGGATTTCCCAACTGGCCATGTTCGTTCCTATCTAGGCCAATCCATCCTCCTCAGTTTACGTTCTACCTGAGCTCTTGACCAGTTCTAAGACAACATCGCTTCAATTTTAGCAGTAACTATCTCGTTTGAGCGTCCGGATTGTCTAACTTCTTTGCGGCAGTATCTGCAACGCCTAGCGGATGCTTGTTTGCAAGTGCGCCCCCACACCATCACAGCCAAACGCCAAGCGCCAAAGCAAATCGCATCATCATTGATGTGTTCGATCTGCTGGATGAACGCTTCCGTGCAGTAATTCTAGGATTCTGATAGTTCAGGCTGTCGTTTCTGCCCTTGTACGCAAACACATCTCATCTATCAGTTTTCACAACCAGACTCATTTGCAGTTTTCGCAGTCGAGCTACAAGTTGTGCCCGATCCTGGTCTTGCTGGCTCGCAGATCCTTGTCTACCTATGTACATGCCCATATCTACAGAACCAACGATCAATATACCTACATACCTACCTACCTATATATATCAATTCAGGCATCCTGACACCTCGTCCGTACTTCCTCACCTCCTTCTACCTCATAATCAAACCATAATGGTCGGCATCTCATAGTTTACTCTTTGCAGGTTCATCTTGTCAAATTCTCAAGCGCTCGTCTTATCTGTGACTGGATAGACCTGTCTATCTAGAAGCTATCTACACATTACCTAGACGGATATCTCTACCAGCTACGCCTGTATTCGCTATTGGCATTCAAACTTTCGACACGCGCCCCCAATCATCAGACATTACCCAAGTATCCACAGCTCTCTCGAGTTTAAATAACTCGGGTGTATTCGTGGTCACTGTTCAGAGTCTATCATGGCAGACCGCGGCAGAGGTAGAGGTCGTGGTGATCGCGGTGGGGGACGAGGCTCACGTGGAGGACGCGGGGGCGGCGATCGTGGCGGTAGCGCTACGTTTTCAGGGATAGGTCCGGGAGGTGACTTCCGCGGCGGACGTGGTGGTGGCGGTGGTGACTATCGTGGAGGACGGGGTGGCGGTGACTATCGTGGAGGTCGAGGCAGAGGAGACTTTCGCGGCGGACGAGGTGGTGGTGGCCGCGGCGGTTTCGGCGGACCAAAATTCGCAGGCGAGGACGAGGTTTTCAAGTATGCCTTGATTCACTGCCTACCTAATCATTGATCGATGCTAACAGGAATGTAGACCTAATTCTGCACCTCTGCCGGACCCGAATATTACCAAACTAGAAGACAAGATTCTCAGTGACTTGAGTATGGCAAGCAAAATGTCAGCCCTCAAGATCTCGTCAAGTAAGGGATCGAAACCTCCCACTGGAGAACATATGCCTCACCGGCCGGCTTTTGGTACTAGGGGTACGGAGGTGACTCTGTGGGCTAAC